TCGAAAAAATCAGTGATAAAGCTAGGACGTCACCCGGAAGTGGCGCGCAGAACCCCCGCCCGAGTTCTGTGGTCAGTATGCGAGGGCTACCGAGGAGTGAACGGCCTCGGCCAAAGAAGCTAGTTCGAATAGGGACTCTGAACGTAGGATCGCTAACTGGGAAGTCCCGAGAGGTTGCTGATCTGATGACGCGCAGGAATATCCAAGTCCTATGCCTTCAGGAGACGCGATGGAAAGGTGCTAAGGCCAGGGAAATCGGGGAAGGTGTCAAGCTCTACTACAATGGAGAAGACACAAGCGGAACGGTGTGGCCATAGCGGTAGCGGAGTCGCTCAAGGACTATGTCTCCGCTGTGAACAGGATCAGCGATCGGATCATGGCTGTGAGGATAGACACGAAGGAGGGGTACTGGACCAATACTCTCCGTGTACGCACCGCAAGCCGGGTGCCCCGAAAGTGAGAAGGACGAGTTCTACCTGAGCCTGGACGAAGCCATAAGAACGATTCCGGAAGGCGATTACCTGACCGTAGCAGGTGATCTGAATGGCCACGTCGGCAGTGACAGGAGAGGCCGGGAAAGGGTGCACGGAGGTAGAGGGATAGGAGTGAGGAACGCCGAGGGAGAGAGGGTCCTGGACCTGGCTACGGCCCACGATCTGGCAATCTGCAGCACGTTCTTCGCGAAAAGGGAGACTCAGAAGGTGACCTACAGCAGTGGGGGACGACATACGGAAATCGACCATGTGCTCGTAAGAAGATCATCCCTGAGATCGGTGAAAGATCATCAAGGTACTCCCTGGCGAGGAATTGGCTCCGCAGCACAGGCCCCTCCTGGCAGACATTGCCATGGACCTCCCGAAGAAGACAAGGGTTAGAACCGAGCGGAGAATCCGGTGGTGGAAGTTGCACCAAGCGGAGAAAGATGACCTCAAACGAAGGATAATGGAAGTTGGTCTCCCAAATCCTAACGGGCCAATACAGCGAACATGGAGCAAGACGGCTGAGACCATCCTGCGATGTGCCAAGGAGGTACTGGGCGAGACCCGAGGTGGAATCAGAGGAGACAAGGCAGCGTGGTTCTGGAACGAGGAGGTCCAGCGAGTCGTGAAGCAGAAGAAGGAAGCATACAAGCGCTGGCAGAAGACCCGGAGCCCCGAAGACCTCGCACCTACAAGGAGTTGCAAGAGGCTCGCTAAGGCTGCCGTAGCCAAGGCGAAGAACACGGAGATGGACGCCTTGTACGAGAAGTTGGAAAGCAGAAACGCAGAGAAGTTCGTCTTCAGACTGGCCAAAGCCCGGCATCGGGCTACCCAAGACATCAGGGTGGTGAAAAGTGTGAAAGGCAGAGATGGTGTCATCCTAAGGAAGCCAGCCGAAGTCAAGAGGAGGTGGGAAGAGTACTACAGTGCACTTCTGAACGAGGAGTTCCCCCACGAGAACAACTCACGGGCAGAGGCCACAGCTGGTCCCATCGCACTCTGGACTGAGGATGAGGTTAGGTGTGCACTTGGGAGGATGAAGATTGGGAAGGCGGTTGGCCCAGATGGGGTGCCAATCGAGGCATGGAAGGCGCTCGGTGAGTACGGGATAAGATGGCTCACACGATTCCTCAACAACATAACTGCGAAAGGAAGGATGCCAGATGCCTGGAGAACAAGCACTATCGTCCCCATCTTCAAGCAGAAGGGTGACGCGATGGACTGCTCCAACTACCGCGGGATCAAGTTGACTGCTCATACAATGAAGCTGTACGAGCGACTGGTCGACTCGAGACTGCGGGAGCTGGTCCCCATCTCCCAGGAACAGTTCGGGTTCATGCCCGAAAGGTCTACAACGGATGCCATCTTCATCGCAAGGCAAGTGATGGAGAAGTATCGAGAAAAGCGCCGACCCTGCTACCTAGCCTTCCTCGACCTGGAGAAGGCGTTCGACCGGCTACCACGAGCGGTACTATGGAGAGCGCTTAGGGAACGGAACGTGCCAGAACACCTGGTCTCGCTGGTGAAGGATATGTACGATGGGGCGAAGGCAGCTATACGCACCCCACACGGCCTAACGAAGGAAGTGGACATCACGGTTGGGGTGCACCAAGGGTCGGCTCTGAGCCCGTTCCTCTTCCTCCTGACACTAGATGTCCTGGTGAAAGGGCTCATGGAAGGACCGCTAAAGACCATCCTCTACGCAGACGACATCGCCCTGATAGCGGATAGTAGAGAGGAACTACAGGCCAAGGTGCAGCAATGGCAGAAGGTGAGATTTGGCGACATACGGCTCATGTCAATAAGACCAATTCTTCGATTCTTAAGTAGGTATCGGAGCCCGATCATGGACTAGGCCATGGTGAAAGCATCGAAGAGACTTGCCGCAACTTGAAAGTGAATCTAGGCGGCCCATGGCAGCGTGACGGGCCAGCTTAATTGGGACGGAATCAACGCGCAGATAAATGGATGAGTCCACTAGATCCTCTGCGACCGAAGGCTACCAGAGCGCAAGGAAATGTGTAACGCGAAACAGTGTAGAGCGCCTCGATCTCTACTCCCATGCGGGCAGGCAGTGCTGGCCGCTAGCGTAAACCAAGAATCACGAAAGGCAGCTTCACTCCGCTGAGATGAGGATGCTGAGGTGGGCCTGCGGCTGGACGCGACTGGATAGGGTCAGGAACGGATGTCAGAGCGGTCATGCAGACTGCCCCTGTCCAGCTGAAGGTGAGTGAGCAACGACCGCGGTGGTATGGACATGTGCTGAGAAGACCGCAAGGCCACCCGATAAGGAATGCGATGGACTTCGAAGTGCAAGGCAAGCGACCGCGAACCCAAAGAAGAGGTGGAAGGATGTGATCAAGAAGGACCTAGGTGAAATCACGGCCACTGCAGGAGATGCCCTAGACAGAGCGAAGTGGCGACGACTGACAAAGACAGCGGACCCTGCGACTGCGCGGGACTAACGCTAAGGAGAAGAAGAAGAAGAAGATCAGTGGAAAATTTAAGCCCAGATAACTTCCATGGCAAAATTTCCAAAGAGAATCGAGTATTGAACTCAACGTCGAAAGAAAATTGACGGTAATTTGTTAGTACTCCTGCGTTCATCCTGGAGATCCATTAAAGATGACTTCATCGTCTTTCTTCTTGAATACCGAAAAGCTGCCTACCAGCGTCGGTAGTGGCAGACAACCTACGCAGTTGATGGCTGGGACAAAACACACCATAATGAATTTCTGGTTCTCGCCACCTTCATGGAGAGCGCGATTAGTTCTACGTTCCTCCTATAGTGTTTCCTACGCTCCTTGTCTGGAACGATTTCAAGGATCACGTCGGACGTGTTACGCGATAAGAAATTGTGGCTTAAAGGAATCTTCCACGGAAAAAGCTCCGCCTCCATTACCACAGAAAAACGATACCCCTTAGGCCCCTAGCCTCATGAGCATAGCAAAAAAACGGAACATAAGCGTTAGTTTCGATAATACTAATCCTACACACAAGACAAAATGATCACTCTTTCCGTGGAAGATTCCTTTAAGGTATCGTTTTCTGTGGTAATGAGGGCGGAGCTTTTCCGTGGAAGATTCCTTCAGGGCTCTAGTCGGGATAGAGTTGGTGCATTTTGTTCAAAAATTAGACAAGAAAGGCGATGAGAACGTGAGCGGAGAAAAGCAAAAAGCACCATAGAAAACACTGAATTTCCCTTATGAGGTCGGCCGTGGTATGACGGTAAGACACAGCGCTGCTTAGAGAGTGAGAACGCGAGCTAGTACGTCGCATGCGAGACCACGTATGCAGTGACTGAGGGCCCTACCCTTCCTAGGAAGACGCGTAACTGGACGCTGACTCTATCGTACACTCGGGAGAGACAGGGTTTCGTTATGGGACCCGCCACTGAACGCGTAATGTTGTAGCCACCGTCCCCTGTAGACGCACTCTTTTGCTCTGAGTGGTTGCACAGTGGAGTCTAGAAACGGAGAGTATGGCTGGTCCTATGACGTAGTCCTGTTTCCCCCAACCATAGGATGGGATCAGCGGCGGGGGACGCGTCCCCTGGGGGAAGGATAGGATACGGCCCAAGGATACCAGCCTGGCAGCACACAACTCAAGCTTTCGCGCCATTTCCTCGCACTTTTGAGTCGCGATAGTGTCGTGCCTCGTGCCCTTGGGGACTCCTCTTCCTCAATCTGGAAGAGTCTTGCTACTGAGACCTTATCCGGATTCGTGGCTCTAAGTGTAAATGAATCGCCAGACATACCTCTAGCTCTGATTGCCAGCTCGTGTTAAAGTTGTTGGCCGTAATACATGGGGTAATTCACCTATTGTAATCTTGATATTGTCTAGAAATTTGCTCAGGGCTACATGGGGCTTGTCGCGAATATGATGTTAATTTTTGACCCTGGTCACCGTTGTTTGGCGCCACAGCTTTCTCCCACTGGTTTTCGGGTTACTGGAGATTTCGGTAATGCGTCCATTTTGACACCTGCACAAATTACAGAGTGTCAACCTGTAATTAACAAGTTTGTCATCTTAAGGAGTCACATCACAGAATAGTCCCTTTTTTGCATTCATAGCAGCCTTCTAAAGAAAATTACCTGTATTTTTTACTTCTATGCATACGCGCCTCTGACATCCAAAAAAGCATTTCGGAAAGCGCTGCATGTCCTTAGCGGTCTCCGTCATTGGTAAGCTCACAGTTCTTCAACTAATAAGGCGCTCCTGAATGGCTCTTCATCAGAACGCGCTCACCCACCTTTCTCTTGGAAGAAAAGTGGGACAGTCTCTGGTTGATAATCGAAACCCTGTGTAACTTGCACCTTTAGAATGTCACAGCAGCTTTCAGGATTCCTTAAAAACTGAAAAAAACGTCTAGAAGGCGCTTGTTGAAACCCTGATAAGGCTGAAACACAGATTCCGAAATCAACGGCGCTAACCCTGTCTAGCCGCGTTCAGCGACGAGCATTGAATGCCACACAAGTTTGTCATGACTGCGTCGAATTTTCTAAAAATGCAAAAGTTCAGGATCAATGAGGGTCAAAGTTGGCGTAGTGATTTTGTGCTTCCTTGTTGCGAATTCCGTCTTCGTTGCGGCGGACAGCAGGCAAGGTAAATATAGGACGAGAAATGTTGAGTCAGTCGTAGCGATGTTTTAAATATTTCAAATTTGCAGTCCGGGGTCGTCCTGACCCTTCTACTGTGGATGGCAGAGAACAGCAGTGCATGTCGACTGCTGTGAAATGGTTTGATAAGTTTCAAAGGGATATCTTCAATAGCACGCTGATTCCACAATGTACTCATCTCACTCGATTCCCTTATTGCATCACAGTTATTTGTCCTTGTGAACTCGAAAACCGCTCCAAGAATCTGAGCACATCAAAATGCACCACTGTTTCTGTTCAGCTTTATCTCGAGTGCCCATATCCGTCGAGCCCAGTGCCTTTGCCAAGATTGCCTCTTTTGGAAAGCTCCACGGAAC